ATAGCAGCAGTTAAGATGAACATGTTGCCAAGATTTCTGTTTTTGTTTCAAATGATTCCGGTGCTTAAAAGTGATAAACAACTGAAAGTTTGGCAAACTGGACTTAATAAGTTCGTCTGGAACGAGAAAAAGCCGAGAGTGAAATTGAAAATTATGCAAGATGTTCCAGAAAGAGGAGGCCTTAAACTTCCAAACCTACAGTTATATTATGATGCAGCAGCTTTAACTTTAACAAGTGATTGGTTTGGGGGTAAAAAGGCTGGAATATTGAATGCAGAAAGTTTTGATCTTGAATTTGGATGGCATGCTTACCTATTTTATGATGACAAAGTTGATAAAGTATTTAAAAGTCATATACTTAGAGACTCTTTGATGAGAGTTTGGAAGAAGCACCGACTCAAATGGGATTATAAAATACCGCTATGGCTGGATCTTGGTCATACCTTGTGGAATACAAATATAATGTCACTCGGGGGGTTTTTATATAAAGAGGTTCTTTTTACAGATGCGGGCAGATGGCAGTTGAAGACATTGCAGACACTGTTGGATGAAGGGATTAATTTAACCTGGTTACAATATAATCAATTACAATTGAGATGGAAAGAGGACCAAAAAACTGGTATTATGTTGCATGAGGAAGAATTGGTTAGACATATAAGAGAGAAAGGTCTAATGCATATTAAAAGGCTTTATAATGTTTTGCTAGAAAGGGATTCAGAAACGGAATTAGTTAAAGATTGCATGATTAAGTGGGCACAAAATTTTGAAGAACCAGTGATGTTGGAAACATGGGAAAAAATTTGGGTTCAGAATGTTAAATTTACACAGTCGCAGAATCTGAGGGAAAATTTTTATAAAATGTTTTATAGATGGCATTTAGATCCTAAAAAGTTGTCATGTATGTACCCTAATGTTCAGCCAAAATGTTGGAGATGTGAATGTTTGGATGCTACGTATTATCATGTTTGGTGGACCTGTAGGAAAGTTAAGGCTTTTTGGATAAAAATATGGTGGGTCATGCAGAACGTTTTGAAGAAAAAAATTCAATTTTCTCCACAATTGTTTTTATTGGGCATAGTTAAGGGTTTTACACGGGATGAAACAAAATTAATATTGTATATGATAACAGCAGCAAGATTGTTGATAGGTAAATATTGGAAGAATGAAGCTTTGCCTACTATCGAGGAATGGACTTCGAAGATGGCCAGTTTTGCAGAGATGGCGAAGATTTCAGCATATTTAAAAGATTGTTCACAAGAGACTTATGAATGGGAATGGAAAAGGTGGATAGAATATGTTCAGAACAAATACCAAATTAGAAAGTATCAAATAGCTTTTATTTGAAAACAATGTATTAGAAATATTTTAATATAAAGAGACAAAGAGGGAAAATTATATAGGGGGAGGGATGGGTTCAGGTATATATATCAGTGTTATTAGTTATGAGTACATAATAGGGAAGTCTGGGGGGGGGAGGGTTAGGGAGGGTTAGGGAGGACGGGAAGTTTGGGGAGGGAGCTGGGGGGGTGAAAAAAGGGGTGAAAATGTAATTGTAAAACTTTTGCAATAAAAAAAAAAAAAAAAAAAAAAAAAGAAACTTCAACCAAACATAGCTCAGACAAAACACCCAGGTTTGTACTTTGCCTATCGAGCCAGCTATGACCCCTACATAACCCTTATGTGGCCCCATGGTGTCTGACAGCAGCCAATAGAATACATGTTCTTGCACAGGAACAGGAAGTTCAAGTGCAAAGCCCAAAGAAGGTATAAAGCCCCCCCTCTCAACTCCATGCAGTCAGCTGCAGTAGAATCACAAATGTTTTTCTGCTTCATCAATAAATGGACCCTCTTTCCAATCAGCTTCCAGCCTCCATTTTGTCTCTAGTGCCTTTCTCCAAGCTTGGAACTGGATCAGATGGATATTTCTTTCCACACCAACGAAACTGCCGGGCTCCAAAGGCTGCGGGCGCTGCTTTTTTGTTGTGGCTGAGAAAGGTGAGCTAATACGGCAAGGAAGGTGGCTTGAAAAAAGATGAGCATCTCCAGGGAAGGGAGAAGCCACATGGGAAGACCAAATAGGCAGCAGGACAGGTGATAATGGCAAAGGATTCAGAAGCACCTTTTGACAAGGATCATCCTAACTGCATTACAGATAGTCCTCGAAATACAACACTTCATTTAGCGACCACTTGAAGTTACAACATCACTAGAAAAAGTGATTTATGACCTGGGGACTTGTCGGAAACACGTGATTAAGTCACCATAGCTATTTTACACAATTAACCCTTTTGCATTACGACTCTTTTGCATTTCAGTATTTAATGACGATGGGCCTCACAGTTTAAGGATTGATATTATAGTACAGTGAAGCCCTGGGTAACTGACAGATTGGATGCCAAATTCTGATTCTAATATCGATTTTATCTATTATTTATTACTTTATTCTAGAATTTTATCCCTCTCTCTCAGCCCAACCCACCCACTGTTATGGGGCAAAACAAGATAGCTCTGCCCACATGTATAAAAAACAAACAATAAAGTTACAGCCACGTGCTGATACCCTCATTCTATCAGCATATATACAGGTAGTCCTCGATTTACAACCAACAGTTCATTTAGTGACCGAAGTTACAACAGCACACAAAAAAGTGACTTGATTACTTTTCAGTTACCTTTGCAGCATCACCTCGGTCACGTGATCAAAATTCAGAAGCTTGGCAACTGACTCACGTTTATGACGGTTGCAGTATTCCTGGGCTCATGTGACCCTTCCCCTTTTTGCAACCTTCTGATGAGCAAAATCAATGGGGAAGCCAGATTCGCTCTACAACCGTGTTACTAACTTGCAGCGATTCACTTAACAACGGTGACAAGAAAGGTCGCAAAATGGGGCAAAATTCACTGCACAACTCACTTAGCAGCAGAAATGTTGGGCTCAATTGCGGTCGTACGTCGAGGACTACCTGTATTTGAAAAGGAGCACTGAGGTGTATTGGGCACCAATGGAGACAAAATGGTATAATTCTAGACAATTGGTGGGTGAAACTAACAATGGCAGCATGCCCCCTGCTGGATCTCTATTGTATTACACTGTTAAATTTTTATTTATTCCTTCAATTGCTATGGCCACCCATCTCAGCCAAGGGACTCCTTACAGTACATTTTCCTTCATCTGTCTCCTAGCAGCTCCAACCAGCGGACACAATGGTCTTCATTTTATAATTGCAACATTCATCCAGTGAGGTAGGCTGGTCAGAGCGTGAGGGACTGGGCCCAAGTCTTCCAACCTTGCGAATGGGTAAGTTGAGGATTTTAGGTTTGGTTCCTCAAATTCTAATCTTGTCCTTATTGCTAGTGGATGCTGAAGTGTTGTGTTTGAGGAATTCCCAAATGTGTTTGATTAATTGGTGAGAAATAGGATATTGGGTTAGATAATTCCTCTAGCAACTCATTTTTGTCAGCTTAATAACCTTTCAGTTCCCCCACCATTCAGACAGAACTGCTTTCTTAGATGAGAAGTGAAACGTTTTCAAGGGAAAAAAAACCAAGAAGTGCAGTTGCCTTTTGGAAAAGCACTTTTGGGGCAACTTTGCAAATTTGTTGGGAGGATGAACTAAACTATCAACTATCAGGTGTTGGTTACCACCTGTAAAGCGCTCCATGGCATTGGACCCGGGTACCTTCGAGACCGTCTTCTGCCACCAGTAGCCTCCCACCGGCCAGTCCGCTCCCACAGAGAGGGTCTCCTCAGGGTGCCATCGGCCAAATTATGTCGGCTGGCGACACCCAGGGGCAGGGCCTTCTCTGTGGGAGCCCCTGCCCTTTGGAATGAACTCCCCCCAGAAATTCGCAAAATCTCTGATCTCCGTGTATTTCGCTGTGCCCTCAAAACCATGTTGTTCCGCCAGGGTGGGCTATCAATATAATTGGTTTTAAATTGGGTTTTTAAATTCGGGGTTTTATATTAGGCCTACTATTTAATAATTTTAATCAATTTTAAATACTGTCTGTCTTTGTGTTTTTAATTAGGCTGTGCACTGCCCTGAGTCCTTCGGGAGAAGGGCGGTATAGAAATAAAATTAATAATAAATAAATAAATAAATAAATAAATATCAACTATCAGGATGTGTGCGTGTGTCTACCAAGGAACCTTATACAGGTAGTCCTTGACTTATAACCATTTGTTTAATGACCAGTTACAAGAGCATTGGAAACAGTGACCTATTTTTCACACTGTTGCAGTATCCGCATGGTCCTGTGATCAAAATTTGATCGCTTGGAAATTGATTCGTATTTATGACGGTGATCACCTTTTGTGACCTTCTGACAAGCAAAATCAATGGAGAAGCCAGATTCACTTCACAACCGTGTTACTAACTGCAGTGATTCACTTAAGAACTGTGGCAAGAAAGGTCACAAATTAAGGTAAAATTCACTGTCTTGCTTAGCAGTGGAAATTTTGGGCCCAGTTGTGGTTCTAAATTGAGGACTACCTGTTTAATGTATTTGTGTATCTATGTATATCTGTATATGATTATTCTTTTTTTGTAACATGTTTTCTTCAAAGGGATGTGGTGGCTCATTGGCTAAGACACTGAGCTTGTCGAGTGAAAGGTCAGCAGTTCAGCGGTTCGAATCCTAGTGCTGCGTAACGGGGTGAGCTCCCGTTACTTGTCCCAGCTTCTGTCAACCTAGCAGTTTGAAAGCACGTATAAAATGCAAGTAGAAAAAATAGGGACCACCTTTGGTGGGAAGGTAACAGCGTTCTGTGTGCTTTTGGCATTTAGTCATGCCGGCCACATGACTATGGAGACATCTTTGGACAGCGCTGGCTCTTGGGCTTTGAAACGGAGATGAGCACTGCCCCCTAGAATCGGGAACGACTAGCACATGTGTGCAAGGGGACCCTTTACCTTTCATTTCTAAAAAAAAAATTAAAAAATCAAAGGGTCTTGTCTTTAAAAAAAGAAAACTAGTTCAGCTGTCTTTCAGGAGCTAACATTTGTCCTGGAGGAAAAATAATTAACAAAATAATTTAAAACATTCTTTGCCATCTTTGCGGAGGTGTATACAATTACTAAAATTGTATACTTTTTGAGGAATTTTCGTCTTTTCCTTGTTCCTTAAAACAGCGTTGTTAGTCCCTGCCTGGATTAGATGAGATTGATAACATGAAAGGTTTAGATGCATAATCCCTGCAGACTGAAGATGTTCAGAAGCTAAATTTTTTTGGTGCTCTGGCCACCGCTATAACATTGGGGAGGAGGGCAGGGAGGGGTGTTCACTTTTGCATTAAATTCCCAGGTCCCAGAAATGCCGTCTTGACTCTCCCATCCTGATTCAATCAGCATGTTACCTCTGAATCTCCCACTCTTAACTTCCCTTTGGCGTTCTGTGTCATGTCTTTGCATTTTCACCTTGTTGTTCCACAAAGAAATTGCTCTCACTTGCAAGCTTTATTATCTAGTATAAACAAAGAGTTCATTTTATTCAAACGCTACCATTGTATAAAAGATCCATTTTTTTTTTTACTTATAAACCTGATCGTTGCACCTGTTAGCACCATACAATGGTGTAGTTTCCAGACTACAGAAAGCTGCCCAATATTCCCATGGCATTCTAGTTTTTTGTTCAGGACCTAAACAACAAAATTTATTTGGATTCGCAAACGAACATAGGCAAGGCTAACCAAAGCAGCTACATTATATATTTCTGGTGGAATGTAGCCTGGAGTCACAGGAGGGAGTGATGCCAAGGCCCAACACTACAGGCTGTTAATTCTGAGTAGTTTGCTGGAATTGGCTATGCTTAGTTTAATGAAAAGAAGGGATAAGGGTGACATGATAACAATTTTCCAATATCTTGGTATTGCCACAAAGAAGAGGGAGTCAAGCTATTCTCCAAAGCACCTGAGGGCAGAACAAGAAACAATGAATGGAAACTAATCAAGGAGAGGAGCAACCCAGAACTAAGGAGAAATTTCCTGACAGAATAATTAACCAGTGGAACAACTTGCCTCCAGAAGTTGTGAATGCTCCAACACTGGAAGTTTTTAAGAAGAGATTGGACAACCATTTATCTGAAATGGTACATAGGGTTTCCTGCCTGAAGAGAGGGTTGGCCTAGAACAGTGTTTCCCAAACTTGGGAACTTCAAGATGTATGGACTTCAACTCCCCAAATCCCACAGCCAGCCATGCTGGATGGGGAATTCTGGGAGTTGAAGTCCACACTTCTTAAAGTTCCCAAGTTTGGGAAACACTGGCCTAGAAGATCTCCAAGGTCCCTTCCAACTCTGTTATTCTATTCTATTCTATTTTTTTTTATTGTTTTTCACCTATGGACAGAATCTTGCTAGATCAAAGCTACTACCTGCATAACTATAGATATACAGGTAGTCCTCAACGTACAATCACAATGGAGGCCAAAATTACCGTTGCTGAGCTAGACACTTGTGAAATGAATTCTGTCTCATTTTATATAAATTTTCTTGCCAGAGTTGTTAAATTAGTACCACGGTTGTAAAGTGAAATCTGACTTCCCCATTCACTTTGCTTGTCAGAAGGTCACAAAAGGCGATCACATGGCCCCGGGACGTTGCAACTATCATAAGTATGAGTCAGTTGCCAAGCAGCTGAATTTTGATCACGTGACCAGGGGGATGCTGTAACGGTCATAAGAGTGAAAAACTGTCATAAGCTGCCATTGTAATTTCGAACGATCACTAAATGAATGGTTGTAAGTTGAGGACTATCTGAACCCCTAGGGAGGGGCCGGCTTAGCCCTCTTCCTGCCTACCAGACATTCCAAGCTCCGCTGCCCTTTTTGCCATCTGGGAAGTAGCTCCTCCCTCTTGGGACTCCAGACTACATTCCACCACAATAGTATTGCTAACACATTTCGAGTGGTGCTTCCTTATTAAGGAATATTTCTCAATGGTTTCTAAATTTCCTAAGGAGCTACCAAAGCCCCCCTCAATTCCAACCCCTGAAGGAATCTAGATCCTAACTCCATTGTAAAATAAATTCTAACTAGTCACTATTCAGTGTAATAGACCGGTGGAGAGACCCAAACCTCTTGGTGGACCATTTGAGTAAAACATGAGTGTTGGAAAAAGATACCGAAGTCCTTTGATGGACTTAATAGAGCCCTGGGTGATTTCTGGGACTCCTGCAACAAAATTGGGGGCTTGGCAGAGCCCCACTGAATTTCTCTCCAAGTAAGCGTGTGCAGAAGTGCAGGCTATGAGACCGCATGCTGCTGTGGCTGCTCATTCTGCTGGGGAATTTTTTAATAACATCTGGAAATGCAGCGGAAGGTTCCCAGATCAGAGGCGTATGATAGGCTGGTCATGTAGCAGATCTCTCCAGGTAGGACAGCGAGTGACACCTGTCCATGAAAGGTTTCTTCCCAGTGACGCTGACTCAATGGACCAGGACTCTACCGTAGTATAAGGCAGTTTTCCTTACGCTAGTGGCTATAAGTTTGGTTTTAACATTTTGCCCCCGTTCCAAGCAGGCATCTGGTGGCTTCTCTGGAGTGGATTCTCTTGTGCCTCCGGAGAGAAGCTTTATGACCAAAATTCTGGCCGCAGTCGGCGCAATTGTAGGGCTTTTCTCCTGTGTGAACCCGCCGGTGATTGACCAGGTTTGAGTTCGTGCTGAATTTCTGCCCACAATCCGAACACTGGTACGGCTTCTCGCCCGTGTGGACCCTCTTGTGGTTGACCAAATTGGAGCTGGTGCTGAAGCTCTTCCCGCAGTCGGCACACTCGAAGGGTTTCTCTCCCGTGTGAGTCCTCTCGTGGATGAGGAGCTTGGATCGGCTGATGAAGCTCTTCCTGCAGTAGCCGCACTTGTGGCTTTCTTCGCCCGTGGGCGCTTTCTTCCCCGCGTGCAGCCGCTCGTGCTTCCGCAGGTAAGAGCTCGAGATGAAGCTTTTCCCGCACTCGGGACACTCGTACGGCTTCTCCCCGGTGTGGATGCGCCTGTGGATGATGAGATCGGCTTTCTGGTTGAAGCTTTTCCCGCATTCGGGACACTCGTATGGCTTTTCTCCGGTGTGCGTCCGAATGTGGATAACCAGCTGCGGCCTGTGAACAAAACTCTGCCCGCACTCGGAACACTTGTAGGGCTTCTCCCCGGTGTGCACCCGCTTGTGGGTGATGAGGTTGGAGCTCGAGGTGAAGCTTTTCCCACACATGGGGCACTCATAGGGCTTCTCCCCCGTGTGGGTCCTCTCGTGCACGATGAGCGAGGCCTTGTCGCTGAAGCTCCTCCCGCACTCGGGACACTGGTATGGCTTCTCTCCCGTGTGCACCCGGGTGTGTTTCATCAGGTTGCAATTTGTGCTGAAGCATTTCCCACATGCCGAGCACTTGTACGGCTTCTCGCCGGTGTGAGTCCTCTCGTGGATGATCATATGCGCACTGTTATTAGAGACCTTCCCGCAGTAGGTGCATGTGTAGAGTTTCTGCATTTTTCGGCTTGGAGGAAACTCAAAACCATGGTTCAGAATTGTCCCCCAACTGGGGGGACCTGTATTCTTTCTCTTTCCTTTCTGGCGTCCCGGCGGGAAGGTGTTTTCTCGTAAGCTTTCCTTGTGAAAAAAAGCTGGGATGCCTGATTGGTTTTCCTGATGGATTTCTTGACGAGGTTCACTTCCGGCCATCTCTTCCAGTCCACAGACCTGATATAACTTCCCATTGAGTCTTGCCAAGGACACTCCACTGATGCCTACTTGTGTGTGCCTTTCAAAGGGGAAGGCCTCCTCTTCGTTTTCATAACCTTGGTCATTGCCTGAAGGTACAAATAGGAGAATCGTGACGAAAAATGACCTTGACGGAGAAATGCAACAGCAGTTACCTAAGCAAAGGGAGCTAAAACATCTTTTAAAGTCCAGATAACATTCAAAAGCTGCTTAGACACCTCTCTAATTCGCAGGTATATAAGAGTGGGGATTATGTACAGCATAATCAGACTTGCAGGAGGCTGTTATTATAGCCAATCTCAATACATTTAGTCTTAGTCTTGCTGTGGCAATGATTTCCTAGTCTGTTCTATCTAGTGGGGCTGACATAATTTGATGTGGTGGAATGTGGTCTGGAGTCCCAGGAGGGAGGGGCTGCTGCCCACAGGCGGCAGACCTCGGAATGTCTGGTAGGCAGGAAGAGGGCTAAAATGGTCGCTCTCTAGCAGTTCACAGGTTATATCTATAGTTATGCTGATAGTTGCTTTAATCTGGCAACGTTCTGTCTGTCGGTGAAAAACAATAGAGAAACTACACGGAAGTAACTCGGTGTGTCATTCTTGGTTTTGGGGCCTGACTGTTGTGACCTAGGCTTCCTGAGTCATTAAAACACACGAGTAGTCCCAAAAACCTCTTTTATTGCAACAGCTGTGAATTACGTTCATTCGCAGCTGAGTCCCAATTAGTTGCAAAAAGTCCTACGGGAGAAGTCCTTCGGGATAATCATCAACCTTTATCTCCCTTGACACTCTGCCAAAGACCTACTTGACAAAGCCACATGGATTCCAGAATCAAACAGAGATGCCGACTAGGAACAGAATTAACAATGTTGCTTTCCTGCAAAGTGCCCACATGCCTTTGCTCCTCTTTTAAGCCTTATGGGAGGGGGCAATCATCTCCAGGCCTTACTCCCGAGTCACCCCTTTTGTTTTAACTGTTTGTGCCTTCTGGCAGCTCTGCGCATGCACGCACTAGGAACAGGCTCCTCTTTTATCTCTGCCTCTCTGATGTCCGACTCTGGAGTCCACGCATCACTCCCAGATGGCCCTTGCCCCATCTCTGCCTCCAATGCAGACCCCTCATCCAGGCCTTCCCCAGACTCCAGGACTGGCCCATGTTCCTCCCCAGCCTCCTCACTGTCCGACTCCGCTGCCAGCTCTGCAGGCTGCTGGCAGACCACAACACTGACATCAGGCTGTTTATTCTATAATTCTAGAATAAATATAGCTTGATAACTTAGCTAGATACTTAAGGAGGGGTACCTTCTCTGCTGTAGCACCTGCATTATGGAACATCCTTTCTTCCATCTTTTTTGATCATTTGGTCCCATCCTTTGCAAGGCCCTCAAGACCTGGTTATGTTACCAAGCCGGGCACCGGCGATCACAAGAAGGTGGTCACAAAAGGTGATTACATGACCCTGAGACACTGCAACCATCATAAATACATGCCAGTTTGCCCAGCACTGAATTTTGCCTATGTGACTCTGCATCCTGCTGCAATGGTCATAATTGTGAAAAAACGGTCACAAGTCACTTTTTTCAGTGCCGTTGTAACTTCGAACAGTCACTAAACGAATGTTTTTAAGTGAAGACCTACCTCTAATTTCTTTCAAACGTTCTTTGGGGCTGGAAAGAATGAAAATGGAAGGACAAGCCCTTATCTCTTACCTAAATAACTGGCGTCTTCATCGCTCTCTTCCTCGGCCTCTGCAGAGAGATGGCTATTCACTGCTTCAGACGGAACCTGCTCTGAGTTAGAAGAATTAATAACAGTAATGTCTTCCCCCAGACAGGAAACCTGCAACAGAAACAAAGTTTTAATGCAAGCGTAATTTTCACAGGCTCCTCTGAGCTATAGTTTGTTTTGATCATGTCTGGCTGACTTTACCTCTAGAAAAGCCATGATTTACAAACCACAGAACCTACGTTCCCTAAAGACCTTGAATTAATCCAGCTGATCTTCCTGAGAATCTTATTCACTTCCAGGGGAGATCCGTCTGTAAAAAGCTTAAGAATGAATGAAACAGCAGATAGGGTAAATATAATAGCACTTAGACTTATATACCGCTTTACAGTGTTTTACAGCCCTCTCTAAGCTCATCTTGCCCCTAACAATCTGGCTCCTCATTTTACCGACCTAGGAAGGACAGAAGGCTGAATCAACCTTGAACTGGTGAGAATCGAACTGCCAAACTGCTGGCAGCCGGCAGTCAGCAGTATTAGCCTGCAATACTGCATTCTAACCACCGCGCCACCACGGCTCTTAGAATATTCCTAAAATGGAACTGAAATGTTTCAGTCTGTACTCTTACATACCCAAAGCTGAAGTCCAACCCCTTTGCATGTGCTACGATTTATATTAATAGATTAACAGAGTTGGAAGGGACATTGTAGGTCATCTAGTCCAACCCTCTGCCCAAGCAGGAGAGCCCACACCATTTCTGACAGATGGCAGTCCAATCTCTTCTTTAAAGCCTCCAGTGATGAAGCTCCTACAATTTCTGAAGGCAAGATGTTCCGTTTGGTGATTGTTCTCACTGTCATAAAATTTCTCCTTATTTCCAGGTTGATTCTCTCCTTGTTCAGCTTCCATCCATTATTCCTTCCTTTATGCATCATTGATCAATTTGGCCATTGCGCGCGTGATTGATCAATGATGATCAATTGATCAATGATTGATCAATGATGCATAAAGGCGAATATCTTTTCAATGGTAGTTTTTACACTCTGATGATGTTAGTAGAGGCTAATGAAAGCTAAGTGGATAATATATTTTAAGTTCCAGAGATCGCTATATTTCGCTGATAAAGAAATAATTTGGTAAATTTGGTATAAAATGGTTTGTCGTGAATGCGACTGCTTGAGGGCTCCTGGATTGGAGCTCAAAGGCAAAAGGGATGCAGTATGCTCCCTCCCACATGCTGGGGTAGACCAGGGGTCTTGATAGAAAAACATATATATATATATATGTGTGTGTGTGTGTGTGTGTGTGTGTTGTGTGTGTTTTTGTTTGCGTGTGTGTGTGTGTATGTATGTATGTACACACACACACACACAAAATATATAGTATATATTTGCTTTGTCCAAGATATTTAGGTCTATTGTGGACAATAAAGCAGCTGATCCTTCTGAACTCCAAAAACTATAATTCATACTTGGGCAGTACACCACCAGAAAATCCAGGTTATAAAGAGCTAAAGTAAAAAAACAACAACAACCAAAAAAGACTTGGGAAAGGGAAGGATTTCCCAAGCCTGCACAGTTGGGAAAGACCAAACAAGCAAGAATTTTATAGGTTTCAGTCAGGCATTCGTAAGGCTTGTCAATCTTGGCAAATATCACAGGACTTTCCCACCCTCGTTTACAGGCGGTCCTCGATTTACGACCACAATTGAGACCAAGACTCCTGTTGCTAAGCGAGACAGTCGCTATGCTCCATTTTACGACCTTTCTTGCCACAGCTGTTAAGTGAATGCCTGCACTTGTTATGTTAGTAAAGTGAATCTGGCTTCCCCATTGACTTTTCTTGTCAGAAGGGGATCGCAAAAGGGGATTGCGTGACCCCTGGGTACATGGCAATCGTCATAAACACAAGCCAGTTACCAAGTCCCCAAATTTTGATCATGTGACCATGGGGATGCTGCAATGGTCGTAAATGTGACCAACGGCCATAGATCACTTTTTTCTGTGCCATTCTAACTTCAAAGGATCTCTAAATGAACTGTTGTTAAGTGGAGGACTATCTGTATAGGAGAATCTCTTTCATTGATTTGAAATACCGTACTTTTTGGAGTATAAGAAACACTTTTCCCCTCCCTAAAAGAGGGTGGAAATGTTGGTGCGACTTATACACCGAATACAGCCATTTTTGGCCTCCTGAAGCCCCACCCTGTGTGTCCCGTTTTTGCGAAAAACAGGCCCGTTTTTCACCAAAATAGGGCGTACAGAAGGTTTGGGAGGCCTGCAGAGTGTCCTGTGGGCTGGGAGGGCAATATCAACCCTGTTTTGGTGAAAAACGGGCCCATTTTTCACAAAAACGGGGCGCACAGAGGCTTTGGGAGGACTGCAGAGTGCTCCAGGGGGCTGGGGAGGGCAAAAATGCCCCCGTTTTGGCAAAAAACGGGTGAAAAACAGGCCCATTTTTCACAAAAACGGGGCGCACAGAGGCTTTGGGAGGACTGCAGAGTGCTCCAGGGGGCTGGGGAGGGCAAAAATGCCCCCGTTTTGGCAAAAAACGGGTGAAAAACAGGCCCATTTTTCACAAAAACGGGGCGCACAGAGGCTTTGGGAGGCCTGCAGAATGCTCCAGGGGGCTGGGGAGGGCAAAAATGCCGTTTTGGCGAAAAACGGGTGAAAAACAGGCCAATTTTCACAAAAACGGGGTGCACAGAAGGTTTGGGAGGCCTGCAGAGTGCTCCAGGGGGCCAGGGAGGGCAAAAACTTTTTTTTTCTTTCTTACCACTTCGAAATCTTGGTGTATCTTATAGTCCGAAAAATACGGTACTTCTTCCCAGATTTCTCCCCAAACTAGGTAACATCATGAGTGCTGGTTAGAAGTGGGGTTTGTTCTCAATTTATATTCAATTTTATATTCTGGTGTTTTGCCCTGTCAGTGGTGATATTACCTAATTTGAGTAATGAAACATCTACAAGAGAACAAGCAAGCTCAGAGAACACCAAGGACGGGGGTGAAATGCTACCGGTTTGGACCGGTTTGGCGAAACCGGTAGCGGCAACAGCACAAGGCTCCACCCACCTACCCGGACATCGTTACTTCCTGGTTTTAACCAGGAAGTAATCTGTTTTTGACCATAGGGTCCAGGCGCACTCACGGAGCGCGCACTTTTGAACTGGTAGGGAAGGTAAGTAGATTTCAGCCCTGACCAAGGACCCCTCGTTTCAACCCTGACCTACAAATATTCTCCTTTATTGATAACATTTGAAACGAGTCCCAGACAATTCAAGATAATTTCCTTTTAGGCAGAAAAAGCAAGGACTAATGGTAAAGAAACTGATCTAGCAACATTCAACGCTGATCGCAGAGATTACATTGCTGTCAGTTCAATCTCTAACTGCCTTCGGGTGGGGAGGAGGGCCGTGCTTACCTTCTCTTGCAGTCCATCAGCCTGCTGCACCCTCAGAAAGTAATCCTCTGCCAGGGCCACCGTCTGGGCACAGCTCCCTGGCTTTCCCTCCTTGACCCAGCCTTGCATCTCTGGGGGCAAAATGGCCAGGAACTGCTCCAGGACTAACAGGTCCAGAATCTGCTTCTTGGTGCGTCTCTCGGGCTTCAACCACTGCCAGCAGAGTTCCTGCAGCTGGAAAAAGCTCTCCTTGGGCCCTTCGGCCTCCAGGTAGCAGAACTGCCTGAACCTCTGGCGCTTGGTATCGGAGGCAAAGGTTTCTTCCACATCCAAAATTTCTTCCTTCACTCTGACTGAGGAAATGACGTCTCGGCAATCTTCAATGGCGCCTGGCAGAAGCCGGGTTAGGCTGCTTCTCCCTGGCCTCTGACTCAAATCAGCAGTTTCTTTAAATGAGGATCGGGAATTCTCCGCAGACCGGGCAGGACTGGGTAGCTGAGTGCACTTCTGCCCGGAACGAGAGAGTTGCATTGCCTTCAGGAAATCATGCCGCTGGACGTCCCAAGGCTGCTGGAGATTTTCTTCTGGCTCCTGCTTAATAAACCGGGAATCTAGTCCAACCGAGAAGTCTTGGATGGCTCCCAGCTGAACGGGATGAGAATTTTTCCGTCCTCTTTGAACTTTTCGTACCGGTCCCTGATTCTCCATTTCTACCCCTGCCTGCCGGAAAAGAAATCCAATCTTCATCAGTTCAAAATAAAACACATATAGGTGGTCCTCAAATTACGACCACAATGGAGCCCAAAATTTCCGTAGCTAAGCAGGATAGTTGTTAAAGTGAATTTTGCCCCATTTTACAATGCCATGGTTGTTAAGTGAATCACTATAGTTGTTACTAATGTAACAACACAAGGTTGTTAAGTGAAACTGGTTTCCCCATTGACTTTGTTTGTCAGAAGGTCGCAAAGGGTGATCACGCAACCCTGGGACATTACAACCGTCATAAATAAATAACCGGGATATAAATATCCCAGTTATTTACGGGACTGCCTGCTGCCACCAATAGCCTCCCACCGGCCAGTACGCTCTCATAGAGAGGGGCTCCTCCGGGTGCCGTCAGCCAAACAGTGTCGACTGGCGGCCCCTAGGGGGAGAGCCTTCTCTGTGGGAGCACCTGCTATCTGGAATGAGCTCCCACCAGAGATACGGAGAATCTATGTGTCAACTATGTGTTGCGTCTCCGTGTGGCAAGGAGAAAAGAGCACACGAAACCACGGCTTGCTGCAACTGGTTTATTCCTCACGCTCCTTCACACACTGCACGGCACAGCTGACGGTATCAGGAATACACAAAGTCGGCGTTGGGAGCGGCTGCCTCCCAACGCTTTTTAAACAGCGCGCCCTTAAACCACCGCCCCTCCGGTTGTACCGCGCATGTGCCGCCGGACTGTCATCCCATTCAAGCAAAAAGGCAATTAACGATCCCTCTCCCCGGCCGGCTACCACCGTGTCCGACCGCCTACACCAAGCACCCCCCACCACCGTGTAGTAGAGTCTCCGTCGCCCCCGTCGCTACCCCCATGGTCATTGTTTTCCGTAGCAGTTGAGCTGGATCCTCGAGCAAGCAGTGAGGTGAGGTGGGGTGTCGGGTGGATCGCGACAGGCGGCTCCCCCTACCAGGGGCCCTCCTGTAAGACACAAAGGGACATGTTAGCTGGAATCAAGGTTGTAGGTCCGCTCTCCGGGGCCCCGGTTTATGGGGATACATTCTATGGAACCGAGTGATCAGGCGACTAGCCGCTATATCGGTAGCATCCACCCATGACGCTTCTTCAAAAGGATATCCCTTCCACTTAAGCAGATATTTAAGCTTACCCCGACTAATTCTCGAGTCTAAAACTTGTTCCACTTCATACTGCTCGTCCCTTATCGGACCGGGCCTGCTCACTGGTTCCCGGATTACATTTATTGGCTTTAATAGGCTACTATGGAACACAGGGTGAACTTTGCCGAGTAACGGCGGCAATTTGAGTTCCACTGTGACTGGATTAACGACCTTTACAACAGGGAATGGGCCTAGATACTTAGGACTCAATTTACGGCTCGGTGTTCTTAATTTCAGGTATTTGGTGGACAGGAACACTCTGTCTCCAACTACAAACGGTTTATGGTCTGCTCTCCGTTTGTCAGCTTGGTGTTTGTGCATAAGATGTGCTTTCTCTAAAGCCTTTTTTATGTGAGGCCAACCGTTCCCGATGTGGCTGGCCCAGGAACCAGGGACCTGCTGGTCTTGAGCTGGCGTATCTAGTTCTGGGATGGCAGAGAAGTCTTTACCAGAGACTGCATGGAACGGGGTGACCCCTGTACTCATATGAACCGTATTATTGTAAGCAACCTCGGCAAAAGGTAGCAACTCTGACCAATCTGTCTGTTGGTATGATACATAACATCGTAAATAGCGTTCTATCATAGCATTCGCTCGTTCCGCTGCACCATTGGTACTTGGGTGGAACCCGGAACTTAACCCTTGTGATGAACCAATCATGGTTACAAAGGTACGCCAAAATTTTGAGGTGAACTGAACCCCTCTGTCTGATACTATACGGCGAGGCGCACCATGTAAACGGTAAATATGAACTAAGAACATTTTGGACAGTTTGCGGGCAGAAGGTAGCCCACGACATGGTACAAAGTGGGCCTGCTTCGAGAAGAGATCTATAACCGTCCATATAACATTATACCCGTTACTCTCTGGGAGATCCACTATGAAATCCATAGCGATCTCTTCCCACGGTCGATTTGGCTCTGCTACAGATTGTAGAAGGCCGAGAGGCTTTCCAGGCCGGGGTTTAGCACTTGCGCACACCTTACAACTCTTTACATAGTCCTCAACCTCCTGTCTCATGCGGGGCCACCAGAACTGACGACGTACTAGGTGTAGTGTTTTGAGGAAGCCAAAGTGACCAGCCGTTTTCACGTCATGACACCTGTGTAATACGTTCAATCGCAAAGCAGGGGGGATGTACAGTTTGTCTCCCACCCAGGCAAAACCGTTCTTATGTGTAACAATTTGCTTATGTTCCGCCAGCCAATCATCCGATGCTAGAGCGTCCTTTAATTCGTTTTCCAACTGAGGTGGTGCGTTCTGGGCTGTTCGACCTGCTTGCTGAACCCCTGGTATCAACGCCTGTACAACTTGTTCCCTTTTACTGTTATACTGAGGGAGACGCGATAAAGCATCTGCCAAAAAGTTTCTACCCCCTGGGACATACTTGAGTTCAAAGTCGAAGCGTTGAAAGTACTGCGCCCATCGCACTTGTTTTGGTGATAGGCGTCTTGGAGTTTGCAATGCTTCAAGGTTTTTATGGTCCGTCCACACTTCGAACCTCTTCCCACTGCCCTCCAGGAGATGCCGCCAAGTGAGTAAAGCCCATCTAACAGCAAATGCCTCTTTTTCCCAAATGGCCCAACGCCTCTCTGTAGGGGTCAACTTACGGGACGTGTATGCACAAGGGACTAAACCGGTTGTTGCACTTCTTTGCAGAAGGACCGCCCCCACAGCCACATCGCTGGCATCAGCCTGTACCACGAACGGTAAAGCGGGATCTGGGTGCCTAAGGACCGGAGCTTGTGAAAACAGGGTTTTCAATCTAATGAACGCTTGCTGGCAAGCCGGGGACCAGGCTACTGCTTGCCCTGGCCGTACCTTCTGGCCTGTGTCCTTCGTGCGGAGCAAATTCGTCAACGGTAGAGCTATTTGTGCGAACGCTGATATGAACTGGCGATAGAAGTTTGCAAAACCAAGAAAACTTTGTAATTGTTTTCGTGTTTTCGGTGCTTGCCAGTCTAGCACTGCCTGCACCTTTTTGGGGTCCATTTCAATTCCGTCGCCAGAGATCCTATAACCTAAATAGTCCAACTTTTTGCGGTGAAATTCGCATTTCGATAGTTTCACGAATAATTTTGCTCGTAACAATTTTGTAAGCACCTGTCGTACCAAGACCACGTGTTCATCCATAGTGTTGGTATAAATTAATATGTCGTCCAGATAGACTAGAACACCTCGATAAAGAAATTCATGCAGGACTTCGTTTATGACCTGCATGAAGACGGCCGGGGCCCCCTGTAAACCGAACGGCATTACCTTAAATTTATAACTGCCCAGGGGACAATTGAACGTGGTCTTCCATTCATCACCAGGCCTAATCCGGACTCTATAATAAGCTTCCCGCAGGTCTAATTTCGTAAACACTTTACCAGTTGACAGAGTAGCTAAAAGGTCTTTCATAAGAGGCAGGGGATACAGGTGTTCGACACAGACAGCATTCAAGCCACGAAAGTCCACACATAAACGTAACCCGCCATCTTTCTTTTCCCGGAATAAGACGGGTGCCGCCATGCGAGACCTGCTGGGCTGAATGAAACCTCTGGCCAGATTTTTGTCAATATATCGCCTTAGCTCCTCTAACTCTAGTTTCGTCATGGCGTACATGCGGGTTTTCGGCAGCCGGACTCCTGGTTTCAGTTCAATGGCACAATCTGTTGGCCTATGCGGGGGTAAAACCTCACATTCCTCCTCGTCAAAGACTGCTGACAGGTCGTTGTACTCCACAGGGAACCCACTCGGTGCCTGTTTGTCTACGTCCTCCTCCCCTGCTCTCCCACTTGAGTCCTCCGGGAGCGGATCAGGGCCCAACCCGAGGCGTAATTTCCGATAACCACCCTCCCACCATATGGTCGGCCTCCACTTATCTAACCACGCGAGGCCGAGAATAAGGGGTTCTACCATAACATCAACGACCACAAAGCGGATTGTCTCCCAATGCTCCCCCACCTCCAGACGAACCGGTTCGGTTACTAGGGTCGCTGGCTTGCCTCCTAACAACGACCCATCCATCTGTTCGAACCGTATGGGGACCCGTAAGGGTACCATTCGTAGACCCAGTTCTATTGCTACAGACCTCTGCAGAAGACATCTAGTGCACCCAGAATCGATAAGGGCGTCCCGGTTAACCCTTTCTGTAGTACGTAAATGTTTCAGCACCACGGGTATCACAAAAGGTCGTATCGGACCACTCACCATGGGGTCCTCGGTGGCGTCCTCCTCACCGCTATCCGAGGCCACAGGGGTACTCCCTTGGAGTGGCAGGGATCTCGTTTCTGACGCCGTCCCACGGGTAGCCACCGATGTCAGCGTGGGGGTGGCCTTTTTAGACCAGTCAGACGAAGAGCGGACACGTTCACGACCCTTCCCTGCAGAGGACGGTGTCTTGGAGGCAGCAGCCGACACAGGAGGTATAGGACAATCAGCAGCACGATGGCCTAGTTGGTTGCACCTGAAACAACGAATTGCACCCCTCCCAACCGGGAGGAGGGAGCGAGGGGGGGATGATCCCTGACCCCGGGCCCCCATAGGCCTCTCAGTGCTGCGTCGGATGGAGGTGGGGAAACCGGCTACCCCTCGGGGTCTAAACTCACGTAGTCCCACATCAAGGTCTACTGCAGCCTTAAACCATTCGGTGAGTTTTGGCGGTAGTCCTCGGTACACACACGCCTGTCTCAACTCCCGATCTAGACCTAGGCGGAATTGATGGATAAGTAACCGTTCAGGCCACGCACGTAAGCGGCCCGCCACGGCCCTGAACTCCTTCACATATTGCCTGGCCGGCCGGCCCCCTTGTTTCAACGCTACCAGCTCGCCTTCCAATAATTGAGTGCGTG